CTCTCACAATTTTCCAGCCAGCAGGAGTGGAAGCCTACCCATCTTGAAATAGCCAAGGTTGAGAAACAGTGGTTTAAATGATGGAGTCATACAATTGTAGATTAAGAAGGGGCCCTGAAGATCTTTCAGTTCAACCCTCTGCAATGTGTAGGAAAACCAGTTAAACAGTCCCAAAGAAATGGCCTCTTCAACTTATAAAAGCTTTCAGAGTTGAAAGACTGTATTGGTAGAAGAGTTCCAGTTTCTATCTTGGGTAGCTTTTTAGACCAGTAAAACTTGGCAACTTAAGATGTTTGAACCTCAACTCCCAGAATTCCCTAATGGGCACGCTGACTAGAGAATTCTGGGAACTGAAGTCCACACATCTTAAAGTTGTGAAGTTTTAAAAACACTGTTTTAGACAAAGGAGCTTTTGAGTTGAGAGAGAGGTGAGCTGAGTTCATGTATTCCACTAGTCTAGACTAAAATGGAGATTGGTTGATTTGAAGTTCAACATGTTGTGTGAAATCAGCTACTATCTATGACTGAGGCAGGACATCGGGTTTATTTATAAGTTTATTTACCATGTCTATATTCTGCCTTTTGTCCTGGAGCCCAGAATTACTTCCATTGATCTCTCTGTTCATTTTATCCTCACAACAGTTTTGAAGGGTAGGCTGGGCCGGGAAATCTAAAGGGCGGGACCATATATATAAAAAAAGGTTGGGCTTCAGTTGCACAATCATAGCTATAATCCTAAGTGTTTGACTCTTCCTACAGATGCTCTTATTGGGCTAAGAGAGAATAAGTGATCCAATGAATTTCTATGGGTAGACTTGAATGTGGATCTACCTGTCCTAGTCTAATATTTTAATGCTGGCACTATACTGTATCTTCTGAAGACATCATTTATTCTTTCCTTCTGTTTCTGTACCATGTTCACAAAAGCATTTGCCTTTTATAAAAATGTGTTGGTTGGAAAAAGTGCTAACAGACTAATGATTTTTCCCCCCACCATAGACTAAAAGGTCTTTCCTCCTGTAACATTGACATTGGGGAGGCTCAGCTAGAGATCCCCACTGGGTCAGACCGAGGAGGCAGAATGAGGAGAAAAACCCCAATGAGCTGTCTTGAGCTCCCAGATAAAAGTTGAAAGCTTTGAAGAAATTTAAATGGAAGAGGCTTCGATGCATTGGAATCACGTTGGGCCTTTGACATCTTGCAGCATGGCTGAAATTGGCCTAGGATGAGCAGAAGAGGAAAACGCAGTCCCTATAAATGCTCAGAGGCAATTTTTCAATCATCAGTGCTGCCATTTTTTCCCTTTTTTCTTTTTAGAGTTATGTGTTCTGGTATTCATTCAGCTCCTACCTAATCCAGTTATTGTGAGACTTCTTGGCTAATGTGAATTCTGTTGGCTGCCAAAGCAAACAAACAAGCAAATAATAACACGCCCTTAGGATTAGAAGCTTCTTCAATATGTCCTTTTCCCCTGTAACGCAGTATGAACAGAAAATATCCCCTCCATTCTAATAACATACAGAATTATTGTTTCCTTCTCTATGGCTTTTAGTATCATTCCTTTTTCCTAGGAAATAAACCCATTTAGCTTTCTAAACTCAACCCAGGTTAGAAAACTGGGGGAACCAAGTCAGATTGCTTTGTACCAGGCAGCTTGAAAATAGCCAGGCCAAGAGCCGAAGAAAGAAATCAAGATGGCAGCCATAACACTTTGATAAAAGTTCTGCCATTTGTGTGGGTGTTGCATATAGCACCTATAGTTGCCATCTTGACTTTCTTTTTACTGTAAACTGAGGACACATGTGTTGAGCAAGGTCTTGCCAAAACAGTGTAATTTGTGCAGGAAATGTTGAAAGTGTTTGTCAATGTCCTTGAAACATTGTTCTGAGTTTCCGGTGACATGCTGAAAATTCCCTTTGAAATGACCTTCATTTGAACAAGCAGGGAGGGATGGAAGATCTGCCTTTGGAGTCTGGAGAACCCAAGCTTGATCACTGGACCATCTTACTTTCAAGGAATAATAGCAATGGAAGCTGCCAGCAAGTGGGGCATGGAACCTCACAGTGCAAGAAAGATTCCTTTCTTGGAATCAGTCACACTCACCATGGCAACATTTTTGTGAGAGTTCTTATAACAACTTCAAAATTCCAAATGCACCATTTGGCCCCAAAATATATGGAAACACTGATCTATCCAAAGGTGCTTTTTCAAGAGGCAACTGGACTTTCTGTTTTTTTCTTTGAAGACATTTCACTTCTCATCCAAGATGGACTTCCAGAAAGTCCAGTTGTCTCTTGAAAAGGCACCTTTGGGACAACCATGACCTGGATGACTGAGAATCTCCATAGACACAGATCTACAATGTTTTGTATTGCCCCTTGACATCTATTATCAGAATCTCAGGAAGATCCCTGTTGGACCAGGGATATATTTCTAGAAACTATATTTCTCATAGACTATGAGGAGACTATATTTCTGATAGTCATCGATTTGATGCCTCCAAGAAGGCCCTCAATACTACCTTCTATTGCTGGATGCCCAGCTTCTCAGCTGGATGCCCAAAAACAATGCTGCCCATAATAATGGAATTTCATCATGTATGTCCATATATAATCTCCTCCTCCTCCTCCTCCTCCTCCTCCTCCTCCTCCTCCTCCTCCTCCTCCTCCATAAATTGGCTCAGTCCCCTTTTTCTAAGCAAGCTATCAACACTAGATCTTGTGAGACTAGGTTCCAAGTAGAATCCTTCATATAGAGAGACACTATGACCTTGGGAACTTGCGATCTCTTGCATGCAAAACATATACTTAATCATTGGACTATAGTCAATATGAGCCAACTTGGCTTCCCAGGCAAGGAAGCCACATCAGCAAATTCCCTTTTAAAAAGCGTTTAAAATGTCATCTTCTCAACACTGTGATATTAATTAAGTCCTACTAAATTATGATCTCTCCATTCCAGTCAATTCACACAGCATTCTGAGGCCAGCACTGCTCTCCTCCGAGAGACATCATAATATTGTGCTCTCCATTAATTTGGAAGTTCTCCCTTCCTTCATCTTTTGGGCTGGGGAAGTACACTCCAAATGCCCTTCTTTGGCTAGCAGAGCTCAATTTTTCTTGTTTACGGCACCAGACTGAATATTTTTTGATCTAATCAAACAGATTTGCTTAGTGCCTTCCAAACGTTGACATTCTTTCTGGAAACAATGGCAGTGGGCCAGTGAATTTGGTCCCAGTGCTGGAAAAGGCATCACTTTCTGGCATCAGAAATCAATAAAATAAAGGGCTTCTTAGGTGGTAGGGAAGGAAGTCCCTATCCTTGGAAAGGAGGGCTCCTAAAATCCTCAGATGCACCATGTCTTCCTCCCAACATACAGTATCTGTTTTGTCCAGGACAAGGTAGACATTTTTGGCTGTTGTCCTAGGAGCCTCCACTATCCAGAGAACATTGGGTGATATGAGAAGAAGCAGGATCTTGTTGGTGATGGCATCCAGATTGCAGACTTCTCTGCCAAACCTTTGTTTGTCACAAGTTTTCCTTAACAAGACAGACCATAAAAGGTGTCAATTTATGCTAAAAGTACATGCCAACACATTTCAGTTATCATAAGTGTAACTAATATATCATACCTACCTTTTAGAATGTGCAGAGGAGACTCCTTTTTTAATGTGTTCTTCTGAGCATATGCAAAATATATATTCCAGTCACCTAGTGAATCTCATATATCAGGATCTTCCCTAGTCCTACCATCTCCTTAGAAACTTTGATGACAACTTCTAATCACTTTTTACTCCTCAGTGGTTGTTCAGAAAGCTAAAGCTCGATGAAGGGGCTTCAAGGGTTTCATTATATAGATTTCTTCAAACTGAAGTTTGTGTTGTTTTACTTTAGAAGTTCCGGACTCTTGGGCGCTTTTGCTGACTTCTTTTCTGAGAAGTCAATGCCTTCGTTTTCAGCTGAATTCCCCCCAAAGCTTGAATTTACACATCTGAGAACCCGAACAATTCTTTCCCACATTAAATCATAAGCTGCAGCACAAGGCAGGCATCTATTTTAATCAGAGTTGTGCTCAATCAATTGTCACATTTATTAAAAAAAGAAAACAGGCATTACAGTATTGTCATTTTTTTAAAAGCTCTTTCCAGCAACGTGGTCAGGAGGGTGGATGAATGTTATTATATCTGGGCAACGGAGGCCCGGGGGTGGATTCCCCCAGACCAATATGCTGAGTGGGACAGGCCAGAGGTCTCTAAACTGAAACTCCTGGTTCCCGGGGCCTCACCATTGATCGGGTTCTTTGGCTACTTTGCAAAAGGCATCCGGGTTCTCCCTTCTGACAGGACCTTAACCCACCTGGAATCCTGCCTCTTGTCTGGCTGAGCACCGGTCCAGGTGTCTCCCTGTGTCTGAACACAACCAAATCTGGCCAGTTGGCTCCAGAGAACAAACTCTTCGCAGATAAGTTATCTGGACTCTCCCGCTTCAGTTTCCCCGGCGCCTCCCTTTCTTTCTTTGTCTCTTAGTGGGGACCCCCAGCCCCGCTCGGCTGTTCCTGCTCTCCACCCCCACCCCCCAACTCCAGTGCCTCCGGAGTGGAAGAGGCGACCGCGTCCCGAGCCGAAACCATCCCTTCTCGCTCAGGCGACGTGCCTCTCCCGCCCGCCAACCTGACCTCCGGCCTCGGGGGGGGTCTCTTCTCCGGCCTCGGGCTGGGGCGAAGGGACCCGAGGGGCGCGTTGCTCTACCAAGCTGGAGGAAGTTCAGTCCCGCTCTTTTCCTCTTCGCTCAAGTCTCCTTGGCAGCCGCGCTCGCTGTTGGCAAGGGATGCACCGATCTGGAGCGGAGCAGCGCGAGAGAAAAAATTGCAAAAGGAAGCCAGCCCAAGCCGTTTGGAGAGACTCGTGGCTTTGCCCTTTCCCAATGACGTCGTGTCCTGAGCCCTTCCCCTCCCCCTCCCCTCCCCCCGCCTTTCCCCTTACATCTTTGGAAGCCACAATTAAGCAGCACCGCTGGGATAAAACGCTCGGGCTGCCAGCGGACTAGGGCATTGCATCGAGAGATGGCCAGGCTGCGGACTTCGTCCCTCCTCCCTGGAGTCCTGGTTCTCCTGCTTTCCAGCCTCCCGGCTTCGTGGCAAGGAGGTAAGAGAAGCACCTCGGGCAGGCTGCGCCGGCTTCACCTCTTGGCCAGCCGCCGCTGAGGTGCTTTCCTCCTGAAAGCCGGGCTCGGCCGTCTGCCTCCTGGCTGCGGAGCCTTCTCGTCGCCTCCATCCAGCTCCAGCTTTGGGGACACCCGGGAAGCCCCGGGCTCTCCTCCTTCCCCACCCTACTCTAGGCGACAGACTCTCCGGTCCTTTTGTAGAAGGGAAGGGGCGAGGGACCCCGTTGCTGCAGGTTACCATCGGCAGCAGAGAGCAGGGCGGGTCTCTTCTGAGCCCCCTTTTCGGGGGTCTCCAAAACCCAGGGCTTCCAAGAGAGGTGCTGATATTGCATATAATAATAATAATAATAATAATAATAATAATAATAATAATAATAAT